TCGTGCTGAAGATCAGCGTCTTCTTTTTGAAGCTAGGCGAGTTTAAGAAGGTTGATTCCGTGGAAACTGTTCAAGGAAATTATCCAAGAAAAGGCGTCTGCGACCACATTGATTGCGCCATAAATGTGTTGTATATCTGAAGTAAGCTGGGAAATGTGGTCCAGTTGTCGAGACTCACGAGGTGACTGTATTTCTGAAGAAGAGCTTCAAGAGAAGGTAAGCGGTTTATGGTCAATAAAAAGGGTAAATTCAAGACCTTAGATAGAGTGTTGAAAATGCCGTTCAGCCAAATACATAGCTAGGAGTTCCCTACCGAATGTGCTGTACCTCGATTCAGTGTCTGGCAACCGTCTCGAGAAAAATGCCAAAGGTTGCCAGAAGTGGTTAACCCATTGTCGTAAGACTCCTCCGATTGCTGAGTCGGATGCGTCTACTGGGTGTTCGAGTGTCCTGATGTGCGAGCATGGTTGCCTTTGTGATATGTTCCTTAACTGTGGAGAATGCTTTTCGCGCAGTATCGTCTAAACTGATGGATTTCGCATTTCTACGAAGTTGGTCTGTTAGCAGATTCATAAGAGACGCGCATTTCGGTATCAACCGTCTGTAAAAACCTACAAGGCCGTTGAACGTGCGTAATTGCTTAACGGTGGTCGGTTCTGGGTAGTCTCGGATGGCCACCACTTTTCTTCTTAGAGGTCGGATGCGTTGCGCATCGATGGTGTGTCCCACGAAGTCTAAGGAGTCAGTTCCGATTTGACATTTCTGAATGTTTACAGTAGTGCCATGTTTTTGTAGTCGATCGAAAATAAGATCCAGATGCTTGAGATGCGATTCCCTTTCCGGACTTGCTGTCAAGCAGTCATCAACATACGCATGTACGAAGTTGAGACCTCGGAAAACGTCATCTATGAACCTTTGGAAAATTTGGGCAGCGTTTCATAGACCGAAAAGCATCCGCAAAAATTCATAGTCTGAAAGGAGTTATGATGGCGGTTTTTAAAATGTCGTCGATAACCATAGGGATTTGGTTATATGCTTTAACCAAGTCGATTTTTGAAAAGACAGTTGTACCTTTCAAGGTAGCTGTCAAGTCATGAATGTGAGGCAACGGGTAACGATCGGGAATGATTTTCGCATTCAACCGCCGATAGTCACCAGTTGGACGCCAATCGTTGCTGCCCGTTTTAGAGATCAAGTGCGAGAAAGATGCTCATGGGTTGTTTGACGGCCGAATGATTCCTCACTCTAACATGTGGTTGGATTGGCTTTTGACCAACCTTAGCTTTACGGGAGCCAGTCGACGCGCTTTTGAGAATACAGGTGGTCCTGTAGTCGTGATGCCATGTATAACATTGCTGGTTACACACGGCAGTTTTGATTGCGGTTGGTATATCTCAGGGTGCTTATCGAATATTCATTGATAGAATGGGTCTATTGTGTGCTTAATTGTGACTGGAGATAATCTGCTACCAGAAAAGGAAGTTACGCAAACAGATAAATTAGTATTTCTGTTTACCAGCTTCCGTTTGCGCGTATCGATGAGTAGATTGTGGTGTTGTAGGCGGTCTATACCAATGATTGGCATAGAAACATCTGCTACAACGAAAATCCCGTGAATGGTTTTGCGTAAACCCATGTTAAGATAAACGTACCTTTTACTATATGTGGCGATTGGCTTTCAGTTTACTGCCTGTAAGTTTAAAACCGACTCGTGAAGCCGGTCGTTAGAATTTGCTGGAAGGACGATAACGTCTGCGTCAGTATCGACGAGGTAGCAAACTTTCGTTATCACACCTGTGACGTATAACAGACAGCTGTGTTTGCCGGCGACGGTTGCCGTTAATGCGTGCCAGCTGGGAAGTTTCCTGAATTGTTTTTCGTGTCGGTGGATTTTGAGTTCGGAAAATTTTAGGATTTTCCGCAATTTCTGGAAGACTTTCCATACTGGTCATGATACCAGCACCAGTCGGAGTTATTCGTCTCTCGTGGTCTAGAGACATATCGCTTACATGAAGTGCTCCTGCGCGGGATTCGTGACCGTTACTGTCATTACTTAATCTAAGATAGCGTGTGTGTGTGACATGATTCTGTAATGTCATTCTTAGTCGTTCGAGGCTTTCCTTTGACTGAAAAACCTCGACGAGATTTTGTGATTTCTGAGATGCGGTCGGCACATGCAGTCAGCTCGTCTACGGCGTTTTTTGAAACGAGACAAGCACAGCTTGCATCAGTTGAGGAAGTTTTGATGGGAAAATTTGTCTGAATAGGCCATAATCGAAGGTTCTTTTGGCCAATCTCCTCTCTCATTCTTAGCAACATATCTGTCGCAGAACCGGGTCGCAGGTCGATATTATTAAGGAGTTGATCTAACCATTGTCGATCGGTTAGGTATCCGCGTTTAAGGATATAACGTTCCAGTGTTTCGTAAGATTCAGAAACATCACGAGTAAACGTACTAGGTGTTACGTACCTGTTGAATTCTCACGGTAATGCCTTGACTACTGAGGGGAATCGTGCACGGGTTCCGTTCACACCGTGCTCGTAAACGTCGGCTTGTGCGTAGCAGAACCAGGTTTCCATGTTGTCTGGCCAGAATATAATTAGTTGAAAGAAGGGTGGGGACACAGTCTTTAACTTGTGTACCTGGGTTTGTGTTCCGTCTTGGCGAAATATGTACGAGAATGAACGAGAAATATATATATATATATATCCAAAACTCGAAAAATATTGCAATATATAAAAATTAAAATGAAACAATGAGTTATGAAATTCCGAAAGGGAATAGACACACAGTTTGCAAATTGGTGTATTAGATCACGTCGGGCTCACCAATGAAGATGCCACAGCTATTCGGAGTTTGAAAACGCTTTAACCAGTAACACCTATTATGAATCAAATCCATCAAGTCAAATCAAAGGACCGAAGCGATGATGTTTGAAGATATATTTGTTAAGCTATTAATATATCGGGGATCGTCTGATCTAATCTGGCTAGCTATTCAGGGGTTGTTGAGCAAGGCGTTCTCACTCCTGATCTGGTGCGAATGCATGACCGAGAGCCTTTAGCTAGGTGAGTCCACTAAAACATGTGGTCAGCACCCAATGTCGAAAACGTACAGAGCTATTTATTTTGGGGATTTATTTACCGCTACAACACTAATGAAGTCAGCATTGATGTTGAAGACTGACAGAATTACTTATTCTGGAGACTTATTTACAACTGATACTAGTCATTCTTGAGGATATTCAAAAGATGCTTGGATTCAGCGACTGAATAAACTGGGAACGGGACTGTTTTTCTCATCTAGTGCTCAGTTATTGTAACTCATTATCCAAATAAACGATATCAGCATATTGACGGACGATTTTTAAGAGAAACTGGATCTTCACCGCAACGAATATGAAGGATTTAAAGCGGTCGATAGCCGTTCTGTGCTCTCAACTAAGACTGGGTGGAAATCCTGAGACCTCTCAAGGCGCTGGTTTCAAGTTTAAGGTCACAGGCATGTCATCGCTTTGGCCTTGGTCTTCCTGCTATTTCCCTCCCTTAGGGTTACGATGTTAGCTAGTTCCGACGGAACAGTGCGCGTTTATAATGGTCAGACTGGTTTTCTTGATAAAGAGACAAATTTAGTCACTAGCTCGGTTGATAATTGTATGTGTGGATATTAATTATGCTTATTTTTAGGTTCACGTATATCCCTTGGTTATTTTCCTTCAAATGAACGTTTAGTAATTACGAGAGAAACCGAAATTAACTCGAGAACCCACTCAAATGGATCTGTTTGCTTCATGGCTTCTTGATAAACGCATTCAAAATAAAACTGATAAGATCAGTCTTGAATTTTACTCAAATCAGGGCTCTCTTATAGAACTATTTCTTTCCACTGTTGAAAGTTTGTACACTGATTATGGAAGTTTGGTTATAAACACTCATAACTGTCCTAATCCTAAGGTACTTCAGTTAATGACTTTATGTTTTAAGTGAAAACGTTTACCATTTATGGTAGTTATGAAATGTTGTATAGTTTATTCGATAAGCTACAGCACAGTAGTGCGAACAAAGGCGTGCTTCTGACTACCCCACTGTTGAAGTCAATTCTGTATCGATTAACACGAGCTGTAACGGATAGTGACAGTATTTTGATTTTTACGGCTATGCGAGAACCGTTCACTATGCAAAGTGAAGCCCATAGACGCCTTACATTTACTCACTGGCCTCATATGGATTATCAGTAAGTTGGGTCTTTTTTTTAAAAGGCGTCCTTTCATTTAATAATACAGTCAATTCACACTGAAGTGATGCTATATCTAAAAATCTCGATCTTGGTATTATAGTTGTGAATGCAGTAATCAAACCATATCAACACCTGCATTCTCTTGTTTTAGTCCGTCTTAAATTGCTATGTATTGTGTCTTGACCATTCTAAAAATACGTAAATGCAACCTGAACTGAAATTGAGTACAAAGAAAGCTTTGTTGAGTATGATGTATATCGTAAAACAGTGTAACTGACTTACCAAGTACCATTTCGTGTAGTCGGTCCTAATGTTAAGCTAGTAACGCTACGTTAATACATAAACGAAAGTATACAGGCCATTCAAACCTGCCTCCTGTTGTTGAATAGCTGATTTCCTTAATCACTGGGCTTCTACAATGTATTATCAGAAGTCGAATCTAGAGTTATGGTTCCGATTTCTGTCATCCTGAAGTCTGTAGAAAACCGCTCCTTAAACTTGACGTTAAGCCTGCCATGGTGGTTCAGAATAATTCCCTGTGGGTATTTTCTTATCAGCTCATGTAGAATAAGAAGTTTACTAGTTGTATTTGTTTCAAAGGGTTTAGGATGATTCTACTCAAGTGACTGTACATTAACTTAAGAGGACTTCACTTCGGTTTTGTAGAATGTCAGTAGGAGAATAGTTTTTGTAACTAAGATCCATTTATTAATAGTGCATTAAAGGTACAAGTAATTCCAATTGTGTTGGACTTTATTTTCAGATGGGCAACGCCTTCCACTTTGTCTGAAGCTGGATTTTACTTCCCATTTAAGTTCCCACTTGACATTGTATTTTGTCTTGAATGTTTAGTTAGATTGTCATCTTGGGAACCAACTGATGAGCCATGGAGCGAACATATCAGACATTCACCTCAATGCAGCTTTGTGTCATCTCCAAATTCGAAAAGCATACCTAGCACATGTAAGTATTTAATTTTGAATAGCGGGGTTTAGTCAATACTCGATTTTTTTCACCGTTATATAAATATACTTTGCATACAGTCTGAACATAAACGTGGAATCCTTAGGGAATTGTTTATTGAATTGATGAAGGCAGTTCAGTAACCAAGTGCAGGTTAATGTCACTCTTTACATAAGTGTCTGTAATACTATCTGGTTGAACAAATTGTAGTGTGGCCCCAAGTGCAAACTGATGAAACAGCCTATTAGACTTCCACATGTATTATCCACTCTTTATTTATATCTTCAAGTATTGTTTTTATTTTCTCAATTCACTTTCTTGTTCGTTTTAATATCGTCGTTTTCTCTGGCTCTCTTTCTATGGTATTTTAATGTGTGAAAAACCAAACCAATACTTATTGTGACGTTCTAGAACCTACTATTGCGAGATGAGGAGTTAGCCCCCATAGGTGTTTTAAACCTAGTAGTTCGAATCTTATACTCAGAAACAGGCTTCAATGTCCTTTAATTGTCTGAGGGCAGGGAATAGCTACTCTCGTTGAGAAATTATCATACTCCTGTGCATTCACAGCTTCCAAAAATATCCTACTCTCCTATCGCGAAAATCAGAGGATGAACCAAAAGTTTCTGGTGTTTAAACAGTGTCTTTGTTTGCGAAAGATTCATGAAAAGCCAAACTAATAGTAAACATGAGTCCTACTATCTTGAGGGAAGTAGTAGTATAGAAACTTAATTTGTTCTCCCACTATCATTAAAAAGCAAGTTCGGTAATTTTTTCCTAATTTTGTTGACTGCATGTAGACTGATAAATAGCTGCATGTATGCACTCCACCTGGCGGTTACTTGTACATCTCGTATGACATGGGAATTCAGTTGAGCCATTGTTCATGTTTGCTCTCTAACGTGAGGATATTTGACAATTTTCTGTTAAATCATCACTTTTCAAAAGATTAACTTTTTCAGCAGCAACATAGTATACGGTCTGGCACCATATGTACATGTAATAGAACGTTACTGATTACATGGTACTGTTATGTGAACCATAACAATTTTTCACATGTTCTAGACAAAATGTACAGACTATCATCAGTTCGAATAATGTTTTATCACGTTATTCTATTGTTACCGTTGTTTTCCTGCAAATGGTATTGCATATGTACCTAGTAAGTTGGGTTTGTTTTTCAGTTTCATGGTCAACAGAAACAGCACAAACTCATTCAATATCCAATGATCCTGTAAGTTTAAGTTTTCAATGAATTTCATTAGTCCTTACCTGTTTTTTAACCATCATCATCTTGAAACTTTTGTGGGAATTCCCTTACTATTTCAAGACGAATATTACGGAGCTTTTAATAGTATTTCACATGCGGATATTAGAAAAGCTATGAAAGCATCGAAAATAACGTAAGCATAAGAGCTTTGAAACATTTCACCTATTGGCTAAAGTAGTGGTATGGTATACGCTACTTATATGCACATAAGTAGTATATAACGATAGTCAGGAATAGAATGTATTCAGCAAAAGATCGAGAAGGAAAGAACGGAAACGGAAAGCAATTGGTATGAAAATGCAGGAACAATGAAATCCGAGACAATCGATTGATGTTTTGCAAATAAGTATTTACTGTATTCTCAGATTTTATTGAGATACTCTATAACTTCGTGTTCAAATACATTCGATTGTCCTCACTCGTGTTCTTGTTCACCACAGTACTTGTCAACCAGTTGACTAAATAATTTTTCTACATATTAGGCAGTTTTAGCTTTAGTCTTTTATTTATAGGATTGTTTACCTTTACTTTTAAATTAGTTAGTCAGTTGTAAGAAACTTTCAGGTGTTCCATTCATAGCATCGTTATTATTTTAAAATATAATTACTGTTTTCAAAAATAGTTATTCCATCGTATTAACTGTAAATTGGGTTATTGTCGGTTTTACGACTGGAATCACTTTGTATTTTACTTATTGTTTTAATGTACATAAATTCTAGTGCAGTCGTGCAAGGAAATGCATATATCATAAATGAAACGATAAAATTGTGCAAAAATAAAGGATAGGAAAGTGACATAATCACTAAAATAATGAGTAAAATAATATTACTAAGAGATACAGTTTATTTAA